GAGTCAGGAAAAAAGAAAATGGGACTGAATGAACAGAAGGGGAGAAATTAGACTGTCAGAGAAGGTGCCGGGGCCAGTAGGGAACAAGCCATTGCATCCAAAAGCGGGATCCATCATGCAAAGACCCATAGTTTATGAACCCAAAGATGTCCTCTAGAGAATGTCACAAATCTGCTTTATGTCTGCCTCTGAGTATTTTAGCTAGTTGAAAGAGGTATTAAATCACAAGCAGCCTCCCTGCTGGCTGCATATCTGAGGATGTTTGTATGAAACATTTGTTCCATTAAGTGTATGAAATAAGTTACACCCAAATTTGCTCCTGAGATGCTTTTTTCAAACAGTTGGAGATGAGTAACTAGCATGTAGGTCTATGACCTCCCTGGTTTTAGTTATTCCACCACCCACTTGGGTCATCTCCAAGCCCACAGAAAGAGAAAACCCACATAGTTATCCTAACACCCTCTTGGATGACAGTACAATCCTGAGGGAGCAACTATTTGGTACATAGCCACAGTTAAGCTCCCCTCACACAGAGAGAGATTAATGTACTTTTTGATGATTCACATGCACAGAACTAAAAGCAGAATCAAGCCCGTTGCTCATTATTTTGGAATCAAATATCAACTAGCATTTTTACATATGCTTGACAAGGCAAAATCCTGGATGGAAGTCTCTTGCTTATCTAATATGAGTTTTAGCTATACCCTTTCAAAAGAATCAGTTTACATTAAAAGAAATAAACAGAGTACTATAATCCCAAACCTAGAACCTTTTGTCAGAGTCTATATCCTGAACCTACTGTTACATCTAGCTATTGTAGAGGTTAGGGTCTTCTAAATGAGAAATTATTGTAATGTGATTCATAATCCCTAGACACTCTGCTCTAAGGATGGATTTTTATACCATTACCTGCAGATCTGTTTACTTTTGTGTGTTCTAGTTGAACCTTTAAGAACACAGATGCTTTGAAATTAAATCATCCCCCTAATCACTGCAATCAATATAGCTGAGACTATACAAAATACCTAATAAGCTCATAAAGTAGGAGTTAACATTAATCAGAAAAGTAAAAACATGGGGAAAGTTTTATTCATCAATTGCTTTGACAAAATTAACTTTCATGTCATACACATCACGTCCAGTTTTCAACACACAGGAAATCAGCCCTCTCATTGCTTCCAGCAAATTCCATGCAATCTCTAATTGTGAAAGAGAATGAGAGTTGCAAATCAGAAAAGAAGATTCACAACTGCCAACTGAATTTACTATTAATTTAATGAGAAAAACATGTGCAAAGTAGCCACCCAGAAGAAGAATGCCCACAGCATTTGGAGGAGTTACCTCAGAACAGAAGGCCACAGAAGATGTAATTGGCACACAACTGAAATAATCTAATGCACGCTATTGACACAAAAAGCTGCTCTGACAAAAAAAGATATATTACCACATTCTCTGTACCAGAGAAAGATTAACAGCCCTTGTGTCAGCCAATAGAAGACAGATCTGTTGTTGGAAAGCATTACTAGGATTTTTCATATCCCTGATCATTTTCTTTGCCCTTCCCCACAATCCTCCTACCCCCACCTCCCCACCACAGCAACAATACCCAAATGTTTTAAAAAGAACCCAGGGAATGAGAATAAAAATATAGAACCAGATAGTTAGCAGACAGTGACTAAGGCCTTGTCTACATTACAAACTCCTAGGTTATGTCTACACTACCAGGTTATTTAGAAAAAACTCCCAAAATAGCTATTTTGAAATAAACTTATTCCTCTTCACAAGCAGGAGTTATTATTTCAAAATAACAAGCCCATTATTTCAAAATAACAGGTCTATTAGTGTAGATGCTCGCTGTAGACAGGCCCCTATTGTGCAACCTGCCTTTATATAGCACATTGTATTTTGGGAAGTTTTGGCAATGCATGGTGGAGAGTCATGCAAAAGTGAGTGGGAGCAAAAGGTCAATTTCCCAGCGTGCAATTATCCATCCCATACCATCTATATCCCATGTGACCAGGGAATTGTATTTGCTCTGTTCATTTTGTTATGTTGCATGTGATTTCTACTATCCTGTAGTAATCCTGTGTGTGTGCCTCAGTTTCCCTGCGCACTGCATCAATAGCGATGGTTATGGGAATTTGAGTGTGACAGACTCCCCCTGTACACAATGGCTGATGCTATCTGTACTCTGAGCCTAGGAAGGGAGGTGTGACCAGATGACACCTTTTGCACAGCAAGCTGGACAATGACTGGAAGCGGGACTGGCTGCAGGGGAAGACCGACTGCTGAGCGTGTGAGTTAGTCACTCTAGCTTGAAGGGGTGTTGGGGGGTGGGGGACCTTGGCTTGGGGCCCCCCTCTCCTTAAGATGGATTGTACTGACTGCTTGTGGTTTCTGTGCTAACAAGTCTGCTCTACACTGTATCCCTGTCCACTCATAAATCTTCTCTTCTACCTGCTGGCTGAGAGTCAGGGCCGGCTTTAGGCCGATTCGCCCGATTCCCCCGAATTGGGCCCCGCGCTCTAAAGCAAGAAGTCCCCGTGCTCTAAATCCGGAAGTGTGCTGGCGTGCCAGGGATTTCTCTGCGCCGCAGGAGGGGGAGTTGGCCCCTGGGTTTGGTGGGAAGGTGGGACTCTGCCCTGCCTGCCGGGGCCCCGTCGAAATGGTTCAAATTGGGCCCTGCACTTCCTTAAGCCGGCCCTGCTGAGAGTCATATTTGACAGTGGATGGGGATGTGCGGCCCAGTGACTACTCACACCTGTGTGACATCCCATAATTTTCACACTTAAAAAAACCCCAACAAACTCATGCAGGCCTTCTTCTGGTCTACCATCTGTGACAGAAGCACTGAACCATTGCAGCTTTGCTTTACTATCATGAGCATAGAAAGCTCAGGATGCATGATTCTGCAGTATTTGTAGCTACTTTTCTATGGTTATGCAAATGCTGGTGGATCACCAACCAACATCACCTTTGGCTGGTCAGGGAAGGTGCATGACACATCATTAAGAAACCAGCACTGTTCAGAAATTTAGATCAAGGACAGGGTAGGCCCATCACTCAACAGGGAAAAAAACAGAAAAGGTGGAAATGGCAGAGGTGCTTAATGAGTTCTTTGTTTCAGTTTTCACCATCACCAAGAAGGTTGGTGGTGATGGGACATATAACATAGTGAATGTCAGTAAACATGGGGTATGTTCAGAGGCTAACATAGGAAAAGAACAAGTTAAAAATTACTTAGAAAATGTCAAGTCACTAGGGCCTGCTGAAAAGCACCCTAGAATACTCAAAGACTGACTGAAGAGATATCTAAGCCATTAGCGATTATCTTTGAAAAGTCATGGAATACAGGAAATATTCCAGAAGACTAGAAAAGGGCACATATAGCGCCCATCTATAAATAGGGAAATAAGGACAAGGACAATCTAGGAAACTACAGACCAGTCAGCTTAACTTCTGTACCAGGAAAGATAGGGAAGCAAATAATTAAGGAATTAATTTGCAAACATCTAGAAGATAATAAAGTAATATTTAACAGTCAGCATGGATTTGCCAAAAATAAATCATGTCAAACCAACCTGATAGCTTTCTTTGATAGGATAACAAGCCTTGTGGATGAGGAGGAAGCAGTAGATATATAGAGGGGTATGTCTACACTACCCCGCTAGTTCGAACTAGGAGGGTAATGTAAGCATACCGCACTTGCAAATGAACCCGGGATTTGAATTTCCCACGCTTCATTTGCATAAGCGGGGAGCCGCCATTTTTAAAACCCCGCTGGTTCGAACCCCGTGCAGCGCGGCTACGCGGGGCTCGAACTAGGTAGTTCGAACTAGGATTCCTATTCCGAACTACCGGTACACCTCGCTGCATGGGGTTCGAACCAGCGGGGTTTTAAAAATGGCGGGTCCCCGCTTATGGAAAAGAAGGCCCGGGAAA